GTTCCACTGGCTGTTCAAATTTCCGAGCCGTCCCACTCGATCTAAGTCATATTTGCGTAATATTAAACCGTGGTTGTTTGCCAGCGATTCCACAAATTAACAAAACTAACAAATAGCGAATAATTGCGCTGTCATTGGTAGCTATTTCATTAATTATGTTACCACAAACAGAATATCAATTAGCTGATACAAATGTTTAGCTTGGCCCTTAATGCCCGGCTAAATACGATGGGATAACGGGTTGCATAATCCAGCAATTCGAACTTATTTGCAAAAGCTGATTGACTGAGGACATTGAGAAATCTGATTGCATTTGTAGGAGCTGATGTCCATCCCCCAAACCAATGTTCTCGAATCAATAAAACCCCTAAAACTCTTAGATTACAACTAAGGGAACCGCGATGGAAAACGACTGCCGTTGTTCAGATTTAATGCAAAGGACAAAAAAACTGTGTGCTTGGAGGTTTTTGAGGAAAAACAGCTTAGTGGCAGAAAGTGTAAAGTTTTTTAAAATTGTTTTGTCTTTTCCTACTTTTTCCTGGAATACTCCCACTTTCTTTTACTTCTCTCGTTCTTTACTAAGTATTTATTGCTTCTTGATCATATTGCAATTAAACAGCAAAAATTGGATCATATTTCGTGATATATTCGAATTATTAAATTAGCAATTGTTGGTGATTTATTGATTAAACGGGGGCAAATTGGTTTGAAAACGGCCAATAAAATTGATGTCCTGAATATAAATGCAACTTTATCTCTTTGCAATATGCGAATTTCATTSGAACTGGTGGTTCTTTATGGATGGAGATTTCGATTGATTGGGTGTCGGATATATTTTAGCTAAATTGAAAAACGCTTTACTATTTCGGTTTATTTRCTTGACAGATTTTGCATGATTCGCATTTTTATTTATTTAAACTGGCRAATAAAGCACYACTCACACGGAATGTGGCCCAAATTTTGTTTTTATATTTTCATTTTTTTTTTCGACTAGAGTGGGATTCGATTTGATACTATCGATGGAGAATCRAGCGAAGCTTTATTGCCAAATTTTAAACATTCAGTCTCATAGATAAACAAAATCATGCCGAGCCTTTTTATACGCCTCCTCCCTTCATCTGAAGCTGTTTTATTGCACAATTTTCAAGCTTTAAATGGTTCTTCGATTTAACACTAAATGCTTAAAGCTCAGCCATTTTTGATAGTAAATCTTAAAAGTTAATTAACTGTTTATTTTGAAGTTTACTTGTGGAGCTAAAGTTTTTGGGCGTTTAATAAAAGTGTTTGGGCGTTTAATAAAAGTGTACTTATTAAAAAACGACCATAAAGCTTGAATCGTTAAAGACAGTATAACTGTTGAATGGCCTGGAACAACTTTTCCACTGTCCGGTCATAAGTCCGGTTTTGCAGCTGTTTTATTGCGAAATTTGAAGAATTTGGAGTCTCATTGGTTAAATAAATTGTGCCGAGCATTTCGAGCACGAAACGTCCGTAAATTTACACATTTATGAAACATTGTGTACGTAAAAAGTGGATACAACTTCCATCGGTTTTTCAAGACATTTAGAATAGTTTGATGAATTTTATTGCTCACTTAAAAGCGAGTTTTAATATGCTTTTCTTCGAAAGTTTTGTAGACTCTGCATAAATAAATCTGATGTGAATCATAAAATCTGAATAAAAAATATGTCAACCAACCTAAAAAAATGCAATCTTTAAAAGGTAGCGCAGCATCCAAAGTAATCACTTGAAAAGGGCCTTGAAGCCATGCAAAGGAAAAAATTCAAAAATCTTTCAAAAGACCTTTACTAAAACAATTGAAGCTTTCTTTCTGATCTGTTGATAATGCGACGCATAAGAAAACTAAGGAAATTAGAAAAATCCTTTTATAATATAGTGCCGTGTTCACATGACGTGCCACTCTTTTCGACATAAGTTTACAAGTAAGTTTACGAGTCTTTAAGCTGTTTTATGGCAAAATCCGATGTATTTAAATTTTAATTTCCCGATTGAAATTTACATACGTAAGTCGACGCCCTTGAAAAAAGAGACCTTTTGTTCTTGAAGCCGTTTTATTGCAAACCTAGGAAAAAATGTGGTTGTTTCGATTTCAAAGAAGCATAACTGTTGACGTCGTTTTTCAGGTTTTATCGCTCACGTGAAATAAGCTGTGTTGTCCTTAAAGTTCTTCAAACACAGCAATCCTTAAGAAAGAGCGCTTGTTCGGAGGAATCGGCATTAGTTTGCCAATAATTTTGAAGGCATTTCTCTAGAAAGCTTGAAGCATTGCAGTTTTAAAGACTCTTTTCTTGTGAAAAAAGTGCGTTTAGCTAAATTTGGCGCATCCGAAATCGAGATCCATCGGTTTCATATCCAGACTCTCAGGAAGCCTTACAATCGCTTACCAATGAACAACACATTTGAATTTTTCAGTTTGGAAACAAAATTTGTAAGTGTTTTAAAGCACGTGGTTTGCGACGGGATGAAAAAACGGGCGGCCGACATTTATTAATTATACCGGAACATAAGAAAATTAATTTCTGTAGTGATTGAGGGACTAGAAGTGAAATGAGCAAGAGGAGGCATCGATTAATTGTTTCCTTCGGCCAACTTGGCTCAATCAAAATGTGCGACACCCGACCCGACCGAAAACTGGAGTTGTGTAGATAATTTTTGGGGCTCCTGAGTAAACAGCGTAAAATTCAAATCAGGCGCAAGCAGCAAAATGGAAATTCAGGGATGTCATTGCGATATAGCAAAGTAGATGTATAAATAAACCCTATGTAAAACATAGAGAGCGCAAAATAAAATAAAGGAAAACTCAGCCGATGTTTATTACGTTCATTTCGTTCCCTCTGGCTCTGAAAGCTTTTTTAAGTAGATCTTGAGCAAAAAGAACTGTTTCGTGCTGTGTAAACCCGAGTCCAGCAAATGGATAATGATCAGCAATTAGTTAAAGCCCTCGGGCAAGTGGGTTTAGTGCGAGCTAATGGGGGGCGCGAATTAAAATGCCGATTTTGATCTATTACTTGACGATTCCTCATAAACCATTCTAGTAATGCGAAGTCCGACTCTGCTGCTTAACATGGGTCACAACCCGGCAGGCACATCGAGAACACACAAACATCATGTTTGATTCATTGCTTGCGAAATCAAGTTGGTTGCGTGCAGCCTTTGATCCTGCTGACACGTAAAGATCCGAAAATCAGGAAGCTGATTCACTTAAGTGAAAAATTACCTTTGCAGATGCAGCACGTGACTCTTAATCTGCATAACAGAGACGATGCCTCGTTTAAATTGGCAGCACCACTTTTTCCAACGTGGTGTAGTTGCAGGCCCCTTTGGCTTCGACAGTCGAATTAGCTGCAAACATGTTTTATGCAATGTTCTGGACAGTCTATTTAAAACTGTCGGGGTGTCTATTGATTTTGCGGCAATTCACAGTGTGTTTAACCGTGAAGGTAGTGAAGGTTCAGAATTCGTCAACGCAATGAGACTGATGAAAGGGAGTCAGCGATTTAAGCGGAAAAATTGAGGAGAATGCTGCTGTAAATGAGGCGAAGCAAATACATACAGTGGGTGCCAAAATCAAAAGTTTATTCTTGACTTGCAAGCTTTTTGCTTCTGCGGTTTTCTAAATGGGGAACTTTAGAAAACGATCAAGAGAGAAAAATGTACCAATTCTTTTGCCACTCGCTATCTTGACGCAATTGCATAATTTACACGGTAGAGAGAGCGTTGATGGTCTCGATGATCACGATACCAAACTGGTAAATATTTATGGGCATTTCGGCACCATATGAAACAGTAACCTGGGGGTGTTTAAATATACAAGCGTCATTCGAAAGCCGGAGGCGCTAATCCGAGTGTAGCAAATTCTGATGTGACTGTGAGCGAATTAACATACAAAATGTTCACTTGGAAGTGTATTGGGGCGAACATCCCCCCGACAGTCCCGTTCTTTGTGTAATATGCACCCCCCCTTCAAAATGACGCCGTCG